CATGGGCGGGGACATCTTCCTCTAGACGGTTATGTTTCCCCTTTTCCAGTCAGTGGGAACTTCACCGGGCTGCTGCGACTCCTCAAATATGATGGATAGTGGTTTAGCAACTTTATCCACCAGTTCCCTCAGGACCCACAATGGATCTCATCAGGTTCCACAGACTTGCGCACTTTCAGGTTCCTTAGATGGTCTTGAACCTGATTTTCTCCTATAGTGGGCAGTAGTAGTACAATCATCTAAGCCATAGCAACAGGAGATTGGTTTTGGGTGGATGCACTCAGCTCTCCAGCAGAGAATATAGCTACATTTGCAAGCCTCTTAAAGCTGGTGTATTACTTGTGTGGTGAAATTCCATGAACCATCCAGGCATTATTGTAAATCACAGCTGCACTGTCTGGACTTTCTTACTAAATTTCTACAATGAAATGTTGTCTGCATATGTTGCCAAAATAGCTTCAAAACTGGTAGTTGCTAGAACCCTTTGTTAGTACTCTCCTATGTTGACTGCCGCTGGCTTGCACATTACAATTTTGGGAATGTGGCTGGGATGAATGTTCTTCTGTCTTTCAGCAGCACCATATACCGATCTTCCTCTGCCACCCTTGAAGCCCCGAAAGGTTTGGATTGTGTATTCTGCTGATCACCTGCTGTATGTGGATGTGGTGCTGAAGTTTGCTGAGTTTCTGATGACAGTCTGTGGCACTGCTGTAGCCTTAGATCTGCTAGAAGATCATCAGATCTCAGAGTTAGGGCCGTTACCTTGGCTTACTAGACAGAAGAAGGAAATGGAAGACCTATCTTCAAAGATCATCATCTTATGTTCACGGGGCACGCAGGCCAAATGGCAAGCCATGCTTGGGAGCGAGCCTGTGTGTCTCAAGCAAGATCAGCAAAAGCCAATGGGAGACCTGTTCACCCCAGCCTTGAATTTGATCCTGCCAGATTTCAAGAAGCCAGCCTGTTTCGGAATGTATATAGTCTGCTATTTTGAGGGGATAAGTAGTGAGAAAGATATACCTGATCTGTTCAATGTCACATCCAGGTACCAACTGATGGACAAGTTTGAGGATATTTATTTTCGGATTCAGGACTTGGAGAAGTTTGAACCTGGGCGCATCCATCGAATCCGGGAAATAACAGCTGAAAATTACATTGATACCCCTAGTGGGAGGAAGTTGAAAGAGGCAGTACAAAAGTTCAAGAACTGGCAGATGGAGCACCCAGACTGGTTTGAGAGTGAAACCATCTGCTTGGATAATGATGAAGAGTTGCAGTCCCTAAACAGAGAGAGCCAGGTGGATTCATTGCTAAGTGAACCAGGTGGAATTGTGAAACACCAGCTGCACCTACGGGAGCCTGACCCTAACTGCTGTTATGTCATCAACCTCCACATGCATGAAGGTGAAAGTAGAGGCTGTAAACTGCAACCTCAACTTAATCCATGTGAGGATCCGACTTCTCAGACTATGGTCCTTCCTATGGATGAGGCTCCTCTAGTTCAGGTAGTGGAGCCAGTCTCTTCCACGGAAGATAGAAATATACTGGGTCATCATGTGCTGAGTAATGAGGACTGTATGGAAGGAGTTCCTCTTCTAGAGACAAGCTTTCCAATGAGGAATAACATCATCCTCCACGATGACTCTGAAGTTTCAGCAATAGATGACCAGAGTCCTGCAAACCTCTCGGGTGAACTGAGACACCATCTGAATGGACTCATGTACTCTCTTTATCAGCAGAGTGTCATTCCTTCAGAGCCATCTCCCTGTCAAGAGGAGGCTGACAAGCAACACCAGTTGGTCTTTGATGACCAATGCAAAGACCAAAGACAGTCAGTGCAGTCAGACCAGGGCTACATCTCTAGATGTTCTCCTCTGCCTCCTGATGACCTTGTGGAGGAGGAGGAGGAAGAGGAGGAGGAGGATCAGGAAAAACAGGTGGTCTTCCATGAACTCTCTCCAGAGGTCTTGAACAGTCTAAAGAGCCTCCAGCAGCAGCTGTTTTTCCAGGACATTCAACGGAGCTCTGACTGGGGGTATCCAGCTGAGATGATGGACACTGGACAATCTTTGGAGGACTGTTAGGCTCTATCTGGGACCTGCTCCATTTGAAATACAGGGATGGAAGGTGGTACCGTGCACCGTGCTGAAACTGTGTTTCCAACACCGTCCTTGTCCTTGTATTATAAATGACTTACTGGTGGGATCTTCCTGTCGGCTGCTAGGAGGCAGCAGACTGGTAACGTTGCTTCCAATCTCTATGGAGAGAAGCAATGAATATTAGCCACCCCTGTGAAAGAACAGACAGTGGTTCTGTTCCTCGAGGAAATGTACTACATTGAGTCCTCGCTGACAGATGGCAGAAAAATTATTGTGGCTCATCCACTTGTGCCTTCAAAATGCCCTCCAGCTGTACTGGTTCTATTGCACTGGATAAAAGTCATGGCCAGGGTTTGGAAAATAGATTTGGATAACGTGGCAAAACTTGTATTGCCATTTTAATACACATTTTAAATATTTTGTTGTAAATACTGTGTTAAAGATGTGTGCCTTAAACTTCAGCTAGGTTAGGGCTGTCCCTACCTGGTCACTACACGTGCCTGGAGTGTTTTTCTTTTGCCACTTATTCATTCATTTGCAACAGCATTTCCATGGCCTTTCAGAAATAAAGTGAAGTAACTGAGCAGTAAGTGGGATAAACTTTTAATTAGGGTCTCCATAACTCTCCCTACCTCCCTACTGGGAGCTATATGCTTGAAAACCAGCAATAGGAGAAAGTGGGAGAAGGGGATAATGGACCAAAAAAATGGGATTTGGGCTTATTATACAATTATAAGAATAATCTGGGACTGAATACAGAATTACTGAATCAGGGGAATCTGGTGTATTCTGTAATGCACTGCTGCATGTTTGCTTTTGGACATCTTAGCACCAGGAAGAGTTGAACTGAAGTTGTAGATAGGGACACACAATTAAGGAAATGAAAGGCTATTTTGAGAGGGGGAAAAAGTGTAGCTTCAGCAGGTGCTGTTTTGGAGTGGAGATTATAACTGAGTTAGGGGAGGCTGAGCTAAAATGAGTGTAAGATGTACTTATGTGGGTATAAACTCAAGCACAGGTAGTTCAGGTTAATGATTGTGAAATACTTAATAGACTAAGGGGTTCATCTTCCAGGAGCAGTGATGGTAACTGTATCAATTCCAGTGTTTTTAAAAAAATTGGGCTTGATGCACTAGAAAAAATTGTCCCTTGTGAGTGATTGCACGTTGGCCCATGTAGCGCTGATGGGGTAGCGGACTAGTCAAGACTGGCGTTTACCCTATTTGTTATCACAGTTTCTGTAGTCCAGCCTGCTGGATATCCAGGCCTTTCTCCTTTGTGTTCAGACAAGCTTGTCATCTTCCTGTCCTTCTAAGTTTACTTGTCAAAAAATCTTAAGATAATTTTATTTCAGCTTTTTAAAAATCTGGTATCTCAGAAGATAATCTGTTCTTTTGACTTGCAACCAATATTGTATTATGTATATTTTATAATTTTATTTGTTTATAACTTGTGTTTTGTTCCTTAACTTAAAAACCAAGAATACTTTTTGAATATATTTACTTAAACACTTCTATGTCCTCAATTCTGCCTAACTCCTTATGTGAGTATTTCTTATAGAAATATGAGGCAAAACTGAGAGCCAGAACTAAACCAGCTGACAAATGCCAAAACATGCCTGCAAAGCATTGCAGCTGTATCCAGTTGAGGGCCCTCGTGTGTGGGAGGTGCATGCCCCTTCAAAAGGGGTGTTAAAGAAGGGAAATGTTTGTCATTTCTGTGCAGGGCGGCTCGGTGGGGCAGGACTGTTAAGAGAGCTTGCTTTCTGTGCAGCCAGATGCCTAGAAAGACTAACAAAGGCACAGTCCCTGCCTAGATCCAAACTCAAGACTGGGTGCCGCCTGCGTTTCCTGTCTGCACAGGACCTACCCCAACAGGAGCGAAGCAAGAGGCAGCTGTCATCTCAGTGCTTCTCCAGTGAGAACCAAATTCTCAGATTATGTGAATAACTGTCGTCTTGATGATCCCACTTCTTAAAGCTTCTTTTATCTTACAGCAATTAACATGTAAATCTGATTTTTTTTTTCCCATGAGTGTTTTTCAAGTGGTATGAATTCCTGCAAATCACTTAAATAGGAAGCTCAGGAGTGTCATCTGGATTTTCTTGCCTTAGTCATGCCCTTCTCAAATAACTCCCTTGGTGCTACAGCTTTTAGAATTCACTTTCCCGTACAAGAAGCTTATTTGAGGGAAAAATCCAGACACTATTTTAGCAATCCAAGATGAGGAAATCAAGTAATTTTAATGCATCTGTTGGTCCCTGAATGCAAAATTGAATAGCCCAGCAAGACTCAAAAGAGGGAAGAAAAGAGCAAAATCAGTCACAAGTTTCTAATTTTATTTTAACAATCTGCTTTTTAAAAAATACAAGTTCTGAATAATGCCGGGGATGCCAAGTGTCCATTGGCCATGGGCCTTATCTCTCACTTCAGTTTCCCCTCCTGGGAGTAGTCATCTCTTTTGTCAGGATAGCAAACAGAGCAATGAAATGCTAAATAGCTGAATTGTGTTACAAGGCTTGTACAGAATCCCAAGGGATCTATGTCTTAGTATGGCACAACTTTGTTTAGTAAAGTGTTATTGACCTGGACCAGTAATTTAATGTTGGCAGAACGTATAGTAGGTGTGCAAGGTGCATCGGGTGAGGTATTGTTTGCACTTTAATGGTACCACTATCTCTCTCTTCTGCAAACGGATCTATTATGCAGCAGAAGAGTTTAAATGGAAGTGAGAGCTCAATTACCAAAGAGAAGGGAATTCAGAAGGTGAAGCAGGCTTATAAACAAGACATTGAAGAGCTTTAAATGTTCCTCTGTAGTAAGTAATTGAAGTGGCAGCAGAGCTGCCCTTTTAGTTGCAAGGGGGCTTCTGTACAGCCAACTACTATGAGAGCTTTACGCTCTCCAAACAGCACATTTACTGACAACCTAGAAACCATGGCACTACAAAGAACCACTTTTTCTACAAAGGAATTCTATGCAACAGAAGCATCATTTTGCAGGGTCATCTGCCCCAGGCAACCTTTGCATCCACAGACAAATTTGAACTGTGATTTCACTGTCAATGGTTTAAATATGCCATGGCTAGATAAATTTCAAATATGCCATTTTCTCAATAATGTCTTAAATGGAAAAAGGCACTCACTGTTGAAACAGCAACTTTGTTATATGTTATGAAGGGGTACTGAAGTAAGACTTGTTAATAATTCTGCTGTGATTCTTCTAGTGTCTCAACTATGCTTATGCTTCAGTGTATTAGGGATGTTCTTCAATGCACTTTAGTGCCACTGTGAACTTGGCCATAGGAGCAGCAGAACATAGTTGGGAGTGATTAGCTTTTTTCCCTTCATCTTGTTTTTGCCAAAAAAGTTGTTTGTTTTTTCTTTTTTCTTCAGCTGTTTGGCTGAAGCATGGAGTACTCCTAGGTACAGGTGTCATCTCATTCTCTCTTGAATAATGCTGTAGTTCTCTCTAAGCTTTTACTATCTGCTTAATGCTGAAAAAGGAAGGTGCAAGGAAACAAATATCTGTACAAGCATATTACACCTGTAATTACGCCTCCTTTGGCCAGGAACTTAGCATCCCCTCGACACGTCTCACATCACATAGGAAAAGTTCACAGTACCAAGTTTTACAATCACAGTCACTCACAGCACCAAGATTGTCCAGACAAAAAGAAGTTACTGAAGAGAAAGGCCACTGGCCAAAATTCACACAATTGCCCGTGTAAGGGCTCAGGTTAAAAATAAAGCACTAGTGGGAAAGTTAAGCCTAGCTTTTGCTGACTCTCCGTTTGGTGGGGGAGAGCAGCAAGTCACCCATCTTAGCTGCAGCTCTGAACAGAACAGCGGTATTGCCCCATCTTTTCTAGGGGCTTTTCTAACCCCTTGAAACTCATCGGCCACCCGAGAGCTGGGGGAGAAGAGCCCCATGGCACCCCCACTTCTGCCTGTGGGAGCTGGAAGTTACCAGACTGTAAACATTTTGCCGTAGCAGTCCTCTGGAGCAGGCAGTTGATCCCACTCTCTGAAAAGGGAGGTGGGACAGAGGCTCGGTCCCACTGAAGCCTGAGCCGTGAAGGAGAGAATGGATGTGTGTGCAGAAGTCTGGGCTGTGCCTGCGGTCCTGCTGTTGGCTCTGGGTAGCAGTTGGTTGTGCTTTATTTCCCTTCCCATCAGGACAGCTTGAAAAAAGGCTGGGGACAGGAAACTGCTGTTTTCCCAATGAACGCAGCCTTGCCCAGATAACAAAATACAAGCCTGGGAGAGGCAAAGTCCTTCCTCCAACCGTGGCCTCTCTGCTCCTGCTTCCATTTGGCTGGTTTCAGGAGCAGCTGTAGCCAAGCAGAAGAGCAGGCCTTAACCCCCACCGAACATTCATGGAGCTTAAAACCAAAGATAACTGTGTTTCTATGAGAGGTTACTAACAATTAACTTTTTCCCCACCCACCCTTAACCACATGCACATGGAGGACAGGATGCCGGTGTGTGGGCTTTCACCAAAGCTCGGGAGATCTGTGCTGAAACGTGAGGTTCACCGAGCGCAGGGCCCACCCCGAGCAGCGCCGACATCCTCTGCTCTGCTGTTGAGAGGGGGCAGTTTGCAGGCTTAGCCCCATCTCTGGTCTCTCAAACAGACATGGAGGGGGCCAGAGGAAATCTTTCCAGCCTTCCTGGCCTGTGTAAAGGGAGTCCCTATGCTCTGCATAAAAGAAAACCAACACTGATCCCATAAACATGCATATTCACAGAGAAATGAAAGCCCCAGCATGTGGGTGCTGCTGTCTGAAGCAAGCAGTAGGCTGCTGTAAACCCTGTTCTCACCAGAAATGAATGTCTCGGTGGTAGTGAAATGGGGTCTAAACCCCTGGATTGTGTCCATGCCAGATTCACGTGTTTCTTTAGCGTGTGAAGTCAACATAAGACGCAAAAGGTTGAAGCACAGAGGTAGACATTTTCGGCTTGGAGAAAGCGGCTCCTAGGCTTGAAATGACCAGAGGGCCGGCGTGCTCCCAGAGGTTTCCCCGGCTGGCATGCAAAGATCTTCTGCAGCTCTGCTGCTGGGAAACAGAGGTGGCAGCTTTGCAAGACCTAGCGAAACCAAAGCGTGCTTCCTTTTGTCCTGCCCGCACCCCGAAGGCACGTCTCTGCTGGTCAGACCCCTCTCACATCTCGTCATCATGGTCAGTAGGAGCTCTTAAAGGAGGGGACAAAACCTGCTGGTCCCTGGTTGTTTAGGGGGAAAAGGAAAAACTAAACCTTTATGGTCACAAAGCAACACGATGTCCTGGCAGGGAGCGGGAGGGGGAGAGTGGGACCCTCCAAACAGTGCGGAGGGGCAGAAGCACTAGAAGAAGAGTCGTCGTGAAGGGCAGGTGCGTTTTCG